TCAAGTATACTCAATCCCATTCATAACTGAAGAAAAGAAAATCCTCTTACTCAGGGAAATAGAAATGTATCTCCTTGAGTAAGTAAAAAACAAAACAAAACCCTAAGGGAGGGGAGGGGGAACCTACAGAAAACTCCATACCTAATGGTGACACGTCGAATGATTTCACTTTGAGATCAGCATCAAGACTAGGATGCTCAGCTATCACCACTTCTATTCATCACTGTACCGGATGTCCTAGCCAGCAGAGTAAGACAAGAAAAATAAATAAAAGATATAAGGATCATAGAGAAAGACATTGAATTGTTATTGCAGATTATGGTGTGTACATAGAAAACATAAAAGAATCTATAAATAAGAATTAATGAAAGTCTACTAAGGCTGCTGAGGACTAAAAATATGTAAGTCGGCTGAATTTCTATGTGTCAGCAATATTAAGAAAATAAAATTAAAGACAGCACTGAAATCATTAAAATCAAAACAAGATATGAAAGACTGGTAGCTTTTGAAAGTATCAAAAATTTTAAAAATAGTTTAAAGTCTAAAGTGTGTAGAAATATCATGTTCATGGGTTTAAAGGCACAATGCTATAAAGATATATTTTTCCCCATTTTCTATAAAGTCAATGTAATCCCCATAAAAATCTCAGCAGACTTAACATGGAAATGTATTAGCTGATTCAAATATGTGTAAGAAAAATGCAAAGAGCCATAAATACACAAGAGTCTCTTGAAGAAAAGCAGTCACTTAAGGTTCTAGTATTTAATATGGTACTTCCCAAAGGATAGACAAGTCAAGCATGGGAGCAGAAAAGAGAGCCCAGAGAGGTATATTTGTATATATGGACACATAATGAATGAAGGTGAAAAACTTCAGAGTTATGGGAGGAGAAAGGATGGACTTTCAATAAAGAATATTTGGGCAGCTGGGGATTCATGTAAAAAGATCTCTAAATACCACACTAAACAAAAATCTCCAAATAAAGCAAAATTCAAAATGTGAAAGATAATAAAATGAAGTTTCAAGTGAAAGACAGTACAAGAAAACATTTGTATAACCACAGGTAAAGAATCTTTACCTAGCACAAAAACAATTAAAGATCATTTTGATACTACTAAAGTTAGAAACTTCTGTCTATCAAACAGCACAAATAAGACAACAGAAAACAAGTATCCTGAATGGAAGGAAACATCATCTTTGTGTTGGATAGATCAATATGACTAAGAATTTATATCAAAATAATTTATAAGCATTAAACCACAAAAAATAAGTGAATGGAAAACAAATCTTATATAAGCAGTACTTCAGACGCACATAAAAAATCCACAGAATCAGTAAACATAATACCATGTGCTGAATCTGTTATTCATCAAGGGAAATGTAACTTCAAACTCCAAAGAGATAGCCATACACACCTGGAGGAAAAATTTTTAGTTTCTAAACTAGAAAAAGTCACTGATACCTTCTGTCAAGAATAAAATGCAATATAAACATCCATACAGGTTTGTAGAAGGAATATGCAATCCAAGGAAACATTTTAGCATTCTCTCTTTAATATGAAGATATACGTACCCCGTGACTTACTGATTCTATTCACACATGTATCTCATACAAGTAAATATTCTAATATACACATATTACAATACTAGCATTGTTTATAAACAGTCCCAACTGAAAACAACTCAAATGTCCACCAGCAATTATTTTTATGAAAATAATATATAGTTATTCAATGAACACTATGAAATAGAATCAGTTAATGTCTTGGTTAATTTTTTGTCAACCAGAAAAGCTAGAATCATTTGGGAAGAGGGATTCTCAATTGTGTAATTTTTCCCACCAGATTAGCCTGTGGGGGCATTTTCTTTTTTTTTTTTTTCTTTTTTTTTTTCTTTTGCAGTACAATTCAGTTCTACATATCAGCCACGGATTCCCTTGTTCTCCCCCTCCCACCCCCTTCACCTTCCTCCCAGCCCACCCCCCATTCCCACCTCCTCCATGGCAAAGCCTCCCCTGAGGACTGAGATCAACCTGGTAGACTCAGTCCAGGTAGGTCCAGTCCCTTCCTCCCAGGTCGAGACAAGCAACCCTGCATAGGCCCCAGGTTTCAAACAGCCAACTCATGCAATGAGCACAGGACCCGGTCCCACTGCCTGGATGCCTCCCAAACAGATCAAGCCAATCAACTGTCTCACCCATTCAGAGGGCCTGATCCAGTGGGGACCCCTCAGCCAAGGGTTCATAGTTCATGTGTTTCCATTCGTTTGGCTATTTGTCCCTGTGCTTTATCCAACCTTGATCTCAACAATTCTTGCTCATATAAACCCTCCTCTTTCTTGCTAATTAGACTCCCAGAGCTCCACCCGGGGCCTAGCCATGGATCTCTGCATCCAGATCCCTCAGTCTTTGGATGGGGTTTCTAGCACAACAATTAGGGTGTTTGGCCATCCCATCACCAGAGTAGGTCAGATCGGGCTGTCTCTCGACCACTGCCAGCAGTCTGTTGTGTGGGTATCTTTGTGGATTTCTGTGGGCCTCTCTAGCACTTTACTTCTTCCTATTCTCATGTGGTCTTCATTTACCATGGTCTCCTATTCCTTGTTCTCCCTCTCTGTTGCTGATCCAGCTGGGATCTCCCGCTCCCCCAGGCTCTCTTTCCCTCGACCCTCGCCCTTCATTACCCCCACTCATGCATTATGTTTAATTAGTAAGGTAGGTAACAAATATGGAAATTAATCAGTTTTATAGAGAATTTTCCACCACAGGAACAGGGGACAGGGGAGCTCACAGTGTACATACTGCTTTAAAAAAAAATCCACATATTAAACATTTTCAGTTTTGTTACTTGTAGTGATTCAAGGATCAGGGCTTCAACATCATCTGGAACTTGTTAGAAATGCACACTATTGGGGCCCAAAGACTCCATTTAAAAAAAGAAAAAAGACTGGACTTTAACAAGATCCTACCATGACTGAATGAACTCAATAGCTTAAGCACTGTGTAGGGCTAGAAAGATGGCAGTTAAAAGCACTTTCTCCTCGCTGGGCAGTGGTGGCTCATGCCTTTAATCCCAGCACTGGGAGGCAGAGGCAGCGGACCTCTGTGAGTTTGAGGCCAGCCTGGTCTACAGAGTGAGTTCCAGGAAAGGCTCTAAAGCTACACAGAGAAACCCTGTCTCAAAACAAAACACACACACACACACACACACACACACACACACACACACACACACACACACACACACAAAAAAAAAAAACCAATCAAGGGGTTGGGGATTTAGCTCAGTGGTAGAGCGCTTGCCTAGCAAGCACAAGACCCTGGGTTCAGTCCTCAGCTCCGGAAAATAAAAATTAAAAAAAGCCGGGCAGTGGTGGCACACATCTTTAATCCCAGCACTCGGGAGGCAGAGCCAGACAGATCTCTGTGAGTTCGAGGCCAGCCTGGGCTACAGCACGAGAGCCAGGAAAGGCACCAAAACTACTCAGAGAAACCCTATCTCAAAAAACAAAACAAAACAAACAAACAAAAATTAAAAACAAAAAAAAAGCACTTGCTCCTCTTGCAGAGGACCTGGGTTCAGTTTCTAGCACCTAAGTGGCTCACAACTATCTGTGAAATCAATTCTTCTGACTTCCGCAAGCACCGGGTACACTTGTAGTTCATTCATATACATGCAGGCAAACACTCATACAAATAAAATAAAAACTTTAACTTTAAAGAAGCACTGTGCTATAAAATAAACAAATGAATAACTGACCATTACCTGCTCTCCCACCAAAACCACCAAGAAACAAGTTAATCTTAAACATGTAATAAACATACTGTTTCTGTTAACATACAAAATAAAATTCCACCAAAGTTAGGATAAAAAAAGTATAGTCACAAACCATGTAAAGAGCATTTAACTATCCATATCAGCATATTCCAAATCTTATCTTAACAAAGCCAGAAGTTAGTAACAAGACAAGATGAATAACCAAAAGGGAAACCCCTAGGATAATATAAAGTTCTGGGAATATGTAGTTTTATCACAATAAAAACACTATTAATCATTTTTATTTTCAAGTTAACAGCCTAGAACATAGTATTCAGTAGGTTACATATTTTAATGAGTTAAGGTACCTTTTTAGACAGCTCTTAAAAGTGAAAATGTTAAAAGATTTGAAAAAAAAAAAAACAAAACAGATTTCCGAGTTATTTTTTTATATATTGCCAAGAGTACAGAAGTGATCTTTACATATTATGTATGTGTGTGAAGGGGTTGAGGAAATGTGTGTACTAAATTAGAACATTCTGGTTATAAATCAGTGAGCACAAAACTGTCTTTTAGGTATCCTGCATGACTTAAGACTTTGCAAATAGGTTTTAATATTTTTTTCCATATGCATTTTTTTTCCATAGCAAAAACTGCAACTTTTCAAGTCTTATTTAAATTTCCCTGTTTTCTGATGAAAATTCATGATGGTTTCTACTTTCTACTTTTTATAACTTTGAGATGAATCATTATGGTAAGTTGGCAGTGCTATACACTGGAGTATTCACCAGGGCCTTATATTGTATATGGCAAGCAAATACTTTACCACTAAACTATATTCCTAGCCATTAAAGTAAGATCCACTGAAAACTGTGTAGCATACCTCCAAAAAGGGATCTTGAAAATACTGAATTGTGCTGGGCACGGTGGCATACACCTTTAATTCCAGCACTCAGGATACTAAGAGAAGCAGATCTCTATGGGTCCAAGGCCAGCCTGGTCAAGAGTTCCAGACCTGCCAGGGCTTCATAGTAAGACCTTGCCTAAAAACCAAAACAAAATAAAAAACAATACAACAACAACAACAACAAAAGATATTGTAAGGTTTTTTAAAATAACAAAGCTTAAGAAACCCCCCCCACAAAATTAAATGCTTTTAAATTATAATATTTAATCATATTTCAGCCTAAAAAGCTTATAAACAATGGAACAAAAAATAACAGAAACTAAACATAAAATAACATACCTCTCTCTTATTTCTCCTTGCAACCTTGAGGAATTCCATAAGGATCTGTAGCTGAGCTGCATGTGATTCCTAGAATATAAAGTTTTAATTTTTCTTAACAAATACAAGCTCACAGTTTTCATTAACAAACTGTATAACCAGTATTACAGATCTACTTAAGTTTGTTTACTACTTCTATCTAATCAGTTTTCCCATCAGCTAATTGCAATTTCAAAAGCCAAGCTACTTTTCGTAAAAAATAACAGAAGAAATTTGTGCTCTGCATGTTAAAAAAAAACCATGTGTAGGTAATGGCCTCTTTTCTCCAACCAAGCTCTACAACATCAAGGCAAAAATAATAATGGACGTAGCTTAGTTTCTAAAAATGAAAATGATTTTCCAGAAAGAATCTTATTTGCTAGGATAAGCATTAATAAATAAAGGCTATTTTATACTTTCAGAAATGTGGGCTGCCACAAGACTGAGCCTACTAATGTTCACAGGTGGCGGGGGGTGGGGGGGGGGTGGCTGTGGCCCTGAAGCCTCTGTCCTGTCAGGAGGAAGAGGCTCTCTGTCAACAGAGAAGCTGCCCTTGAGAATACCGCTAAGTAACCCTCCTTTGGAACTGGGTGAAATGGTTTCTTCAATATGAAGCTGGCCTCTATTTGGGGTGAACAGAAATACACTGCCAGGAAAAGTTATGCAATACCTACTCACAAAGATATGAGATTAATATAAATATATTTTGGCAAAGTTTGATAAAAATCAAAACTTTGAAAACACACACACACGAAAATAAAAATAAAAAATATAAAGGAGGATAGTGAGTACTCTAAACTAGTAACTGAAATCAAGATTGTATTGATAAATGACCATTATGACCAGGACATTAGGTGGGTATTCTAAAATGAACTAAGGAATTCCAGATGAGTAGAATAAATATATGTCAAGACCTAAAAACAGAATAATGAAAGATAGTTTATAAACAAATACAATTCTACCATTTTCTTATAGGTTTGAAAGGGAAAATAGAGATGAACAAAACCTTCATTTACCTGACCAAGCAACAGAATTACATGAAGCACTATTAAAACAGACTCTTGATCAGGTCTAAAAATTCTGATATTGCTTTTTACAAAAGGTCTGAGAAGAGTGCTCACCATGAACACTATCTTCTAAACAAAACAGATGCTGCACAATAACCTCCCAGCAGCAGTGACTACCTATACAAAACCGCCCGAGACTGAGCCAATCAGCAGTCCTCATAGGAACTCGTAAGGCACCACCCTCTGGGGGAGACAAAGGTTGCTGAAGGGAGATGCCTATTTCACAGTGAAGTAGATCTGGTAAACTCCCTTGCTCAAGTAAATAATCCCTCACTCCTGTGCTCCTAGTTAAATGCTATGGACACACAAAAAGACATCAAAGCAAGAGGGTATTTATTAGAAAGATGGGGTTTGGTGGGGGGAAAAGGAAGTAAGAGAGGATATTGAGGTAGAAAATGATCAAAGTACATTATACATATACACATGTATGTATGTATGTATGAAATTATGAAAAATATTTTTAAAAAAGAACAAAACCAAAGAAACAAAAAAGGTACTAGAATATATTTAACAAAGGCCTAGATAATAAAAATGAGTTACTGCTACAGGAGGGAGGAATGAGACCTAATTTTCTCCTGAGGCAGAGAAGGAAGATCTGGCTGAGGTAAGTAGGAAGGAATCAATGACTCCACCCACTTCTTTATCTTAATAACTGTGTGTGTGTGTGTGTGTGTGTGTGTGTGTGTGTGTGTGTGTGTGTGTGTGTGTGTGTACACCTGCAGTGAGGAGGTCAGAGGACATTTTTTATAGTCAATTCTCTCCTTCCACTAAGGGATCCAGGGACAGAATTCAGGTCACCAGGTTTGCATGGCATGGGCTTTTACCCTCTAAGCCATCTTGCCAATCCTCCACCTGCTTCATAAACAGTCTATCAATCCTAAGCCCAGCCAGTACTAACCCTGACACCTGATACTCCTAACCCCAGTGCCTCTGCCTCACAATACAGTGTTAAGTTCTTAGCTTTACATCACTGTTGGCTCAGTGTACAGTTTTGTCAAGTTTGAAAATTTATTACCCTTTATTCATCTGCTTCAGAACTTACAAAATGGGCTAGAGAAATGCCTTTTCACATGTGTTTAGTCTAATAAAAAAAAAAAATCAGTTACTGACTACGCCCTATTATTTCCAAACCTTTCTAGGTATTTTTCACTATATAACAAATCACTGTTTAAAACAAAGTATCTTTTAAGTCTAGGCACCACTTACTGCTTCCAGTTGTTTCTTCTTCTGCACTAGTAATTCCAACATGAGGTTGACATTGGCCAAATCAAGGTTATCCTGATCAGTTCCTAGCAAATCTTGAAATATTTGCCACCTATGCCCGTTCTAAAATTAAAAAGAACATGGTAACTTAACAACACTGCTTTAGATTCTAAAACAAACATTGAAGAAGTACTTTCTAATGTGTTTTGTTACATCAGAAGTAAGTTACATACCCATTCTAACTTCTCCCCAATTAGTGGAACTACAATTTAAACTCTAGCTCTACTTTCAATGAATACAGCGAACAAGAATAAAAGGCACAAGGAAGATAAATATAAGTTGGTATCTCTAGGTATAATAAATCAAAACATTTGGATTTTCAGCCTTGCACATGGTAAAATATTAATTCAAGCACAGCTGTCTCAATAATTTGGGGCTAATCCTTTTAGTTAAGAAACTTTGAGCAGCTTATTCAAAATACCTTGACATATGACATTTTAGATACATGTAAACCCTATTTAAGGTGATACCACCAGGCCCTTCAAATGACAGTCAGTCTGGTAAACGATTACAGATAATACAGTTAAGCAAGTTATTATTTCCTTATTTATTTATTTGAGTACTCTTAAATAATCTTGCTATAATAAAAGTCAATTCTTTACTAGGTATTAATATATATTATCAACTAAAGACAATAAAATGAATTTAGTAGAAATAAGAGTAAAGGGGCTAAGAATATTGCATAGTTCATAGGGCACTTGTCTACTATATACAAAGCCCTGGGCTCAATCACCAGCATTATAAAACAAACAAAAATAGAAATAGTAATAAGAGCTGAAACATACGGTGCTACTCACTGAGTGGTCCAATTTGAACCTCTTTTCCTCAAATCTTTGCTTCTGTTTGAGAATGAGCTCATTCACTGAAAACAAAAATAAAAAAAAGCACACAAAATTTGTATTCTTGTTATATTTATCTTCTACTTGTTCTGTTCAGGTAGATTTTATCTTAACTTTAGAGAACCTCAAATTTAAAGAAATATGAAGGAGAAATTGTTAGCTTTCTATTCTATTTTGAATTAGAAAAATTTTTTCTGTACTTGTTACAGGAAATTCTTTATAAGTAATTCTATTACTACAGGAAATTCTTTATAATGTACACCCCTCTTTTATATGTTTCTTTACAATAATAATATTGGTATCTGGAAAGACATCATTTTTCACTGTGTGAAAACACTTAAGTGTGTTCTATGAGACAAGCACTGAAGATTTTTGCTTTGTTTAAACACCATCTCATCCTTCTTAGTAATAAGATTCTTTTTTCAAATTTCAGACTGCCATATAACTTTCAGGGATGCCAAATCTCTCTTCAACCACAGTGTGACTAATCTAAGCCAAACTAGTCACTTTGTGCTCAACCACTAATTGATACGAAGCCAAAGTCACACAGTTTGATTTTGGTTTTTGAGACAAGGTTCCACTATGTAACCAGCCTGACTGGGACTCCTGATGCTCCTAACTCAGCCGGGGTTATAAGGATGCCACCCACAGCCTGGAAACACACACATTCCTAATCAATGAGAGATGTGTTCTTCACATGGGAGAAAAAAAAAATTCTCTGTTTCCAGAAGGAGATGGTATCTGAACCTTCTTAAAGCTATTTTGAAGTTCTGGGGTAGCTATGCAAAGGACCAAGACATATCCTCATGAAAGAAAAAAAAATTAACATTATCAATGAAGTGCTGAATTAATTAGCTCTGGAAATTCTCTGTAAATGAATACAATTAAACAATGTTTAAGGGACTTTTACTTGTATTTGGAGGGTGTTTTTGTTTTGCTTTTTTTTGTTTGTTCTTACAGACAAACATACCTATACCAAAAGAGCTGATAAATGATGCTACAAAACTCTATTAGAATGCAGAAATTACTTGGATGACAAATGTAACAGAGTTGGTATCCAAGATGAAATGCTGACTATGGTCCACTATACAAATAAATCAAAATAGATCCAAATCCACCTTAGGTTTGAAGCTTCACAACTGAATGAAATGATCCATAGCCTCAAATAACTCAAAATAGCAAAAGACATAAATATGATGTAGCAGTTAGATTATAATGGGATAACCAATACTATCATTGATACAATCTTACAAAGTACACAGGCCATATAAAGGTCAAATAAGAATGAAGCCAAAATATGCACAAACTCTCTAGATATAAAAATGAATGAAAAAATACAGATAAAAGTGTGTATTGTGCATGTGTGTGACCAACTCATGAAATATCAGAGGATGGTTTTGTGAAGGTTAACAGGGCTAAGAAATAGAAGCAGACTATTAATAAATCAGTATGATTTTAAAAAGTGGGAAACAAACACTTCACAAAATTATTGCAATCTACAAGAGAATTGAAAATAATACAATGGAGAATGAACAAGTAAAAGTAAACCAGAGTGAGCCCAGAGGGACGACTAAACAGTTAATAGACTTTGCTTCACTTACAGAAGACCAAATTCAGTCTCCAGCATCCACATAGTAACTATGACCACCAATGCCTTTGTCTGGCCTACTTGGCACATACTTAGTACACAGAAATATATGGAAACCAAAAGCTCATAAACATATAATAAAAATAAACCAGTCTTTTAAAAAGAATAAACCAGAATCTAATGTTTCAGTTACATTAAATTACTAGTATTTGAATAAAAACTGTGACTTAGTTACAATATTGCGTGCTATTACATATCTTAAAGTCTCACATGCCACTGTCTTTGATTTTTGCCAACACTACTACATCAAGTTCTTAAAGGTTAAAATTCTGAAATAGTTATATATAACAAAGGTTAAAATGAAAAAGAAAATATATGAATTGGTATGAAGTATTATAGCATACAATATTACAGAAAGATTATATTAAAAGAAAAAAAGGAAAAGCAGGCATGGTGGCATAGGTTTATAAACACAGCAGCACTTGGGAGGGTTGGATGGTAAAATTATAAGTTCAAGGACAAACTGAACTGTACGGAAAAGCCCTGTCTCAAACATGTTTAGTAAGGACATAATGTAATTAAGCAAAATCAGCTTTAAACACTGACTCAGAATTTTTGTGTAGATACTGAAAACACTGATTATTTTACCCTTTAAAAACTATACTTCGCCGGGCGGTGGTGGCGCACGCCTTTAATCCCAGCACTCGGGAGGCAGAGGCAGGCGGATCTCCGTGAGTTCGAGGCCAGCCTGGTCTACAACGCGAGATCCAGGAAAGGCGCAAAGCTACACAGAGAAACCCTGTCTCGAAAAAACCAAAAAAAAAAAACAAAAAAAAAAAAACTATACTTCAAAGAAGGTGCCATGCACAACACTGGAGGAGGGAAGCAACTATCAATCTTATGCCACTAGGGACCGTTTGATCTACATTAACAGCCTGTCTGGCAAGACATATCCCACTGATGCAATAGTAGAACAGGCATTATGAAAGTAATCAACCACTTTCTGATTGGATTTAATGCCCAATCCACAAAATGAAACCATACCTAGCACCACTGTCAGGCCTAAAACCTGTGTGACTGGACAGGTCATACGCCTTAGTGGGGAACCTGCTACTATTATCCTGCTAAATGGACACAGTATTAAACCTAATTGTTATCTAGTAGAAGGCCACACATCTAAAAATATTTGGGAAGCACAAACTGGACTTGATGGGTGTAAAAGAAAAAACACAAGGCTAGGTTGATTAGGGAAGTGCGGGGTGGGTTTGGAAGGAATTGGGAGAAGGGGGAATATGGTTAAAATACAGTGTATGAAATTTTCAAAGGCCTAATAAAAATTACTTTTTAAATTATACCTGAAATAGCAGTTTGGTTGTGAAATAAAAAGACTGATCTTTCTCTTTTTTTGTATGTATACTTTACTTCTTATAGCATTTCTTTAAAAAATATTTTTTAGTTTTCACTTTAAAATGTGAATAAAGGGAAAGTCTCTTAAAATACAAGCTACATATAATTGACCATTGGTATGTAACTTTTAACCAAGACTTTCATATTAGTCTTTCATATCTCTAATCTAATCAGTTCTCAGAAAAATGACTATATATATATATATATATATATATATATAAAGTCTATATTACTTTACCTAAGATACTCAATCTGTTTGTGTCTCAGTGTCATCATCTAAGAACAAGCATAATAATACTGTATCTTATAAGATTACCACGAAGACTCAATTAAGCCATCTCCATAAAGTATGTAATATAGTGCCTAACAGGAGCTCTGACTGCCTAAGTGTGAGTGTATGTATGGGAGAGATGGACAGACAAATGGGAAGAGGAGGAGGGGGTAGGGAGAGAGGAAGGAAAGAATGAGAAGCAGGGAGGGAGGGAAGAAAGCAAGGAGGAGGAAAAGAGAGTATTTGTGTGTGTAAGAGAGAGCTGCAGAGTCTCTGTGGGGGTGGAGGGGGAGAAAAAGAGAGAGAGAGTTGCAGAGTCTCCCTGTGCAGCCTGAGCTTAGAACCAAATTAAAAATCACCCCACTTCATCCTCTGAAATGCTGGGAGATTACAGGTGTTCATCACCATACAGGTCTAAATATACATTTTTTTTTTTTTTTTTTTTTTTGGTTTTTCGAGACAGGGTTTCTCTGTGTAGCTTTGTGCCTCCCTGGAACTCACTTGGTAGCCCAGGCTGGCCTCAAACACACAGAGATCCGCCTGGCTCTGCCTCCCAAGTGCTGGGATTAAAGGCATGCGCCACCACCGCCCGGCCCTAAATATACATTTTAAAGATTGCAAATAGAGGTAGATTGTTAATAAGACTAAGAAAAGTTAAATTACAAATTTTATAAACACAAAAACCCACATACATGAGTGGTGGGGTAGAAAGTGGGGATAAAGTAAAGCCTAAGCTCTGAAATTGGGGGTTGTACTTGAAGACTCAGGGAAGGAAAAAAAGGAACTCTGAGTATACTGAGGGGTTTTCTCAGAATTTCTTTCCTTTTCAAGTCTAAGTAATATTCTACTTTGTATTTTATCCATTGCATTTTATCCACTGAGCGCTCCATAATTCCATCTCCTGGCTCCTGTGAACAATGATACTCTGAATGTGCATATACAAATACTTCTGCAGAACTCTGCTTCCAATTCTTCTTGGTATCCATTTATAGAAAATTGTTGGATTATGAAAATTTTGTTTCGTTTTCAGAAAACACCATACATATTCCACTACAAACATTACACAGACAGCTTCTCCAGGTCTTTGCAATCCTTACTAGCAGCCATCCTAATGAGTACATAATCTGTGTTTTTTGAGTTCCCTTTTTCATATTCTTTAGGTTACTGTTTTCCTTTCGCTGATTTTATACCTTAAAAAATAGAAGTCAAGAACCAGGTCTAGATTTCCACAGGGTAAGGTAGGTGGGGAAGGACGTGGAGCTGCCTACTCTCTCCAGGCATGTCACACTGCTAGTATCTCCACATGGTCAGCAATATGCACATCTCTATGCCAGACATCATTTTGGTTTCTTACAAAGGCTTCATTAAGTTTCAGGAACTGATTAAATCAGTGGTCATTGGGCATCAACTCACCCTTCAGTTCCTCTCACCTCCTCGTTGATGAAGGTGGGCTGAAGTTACAAACCTCTACAAAGTAATTAGCCCCCTGAGCAACCTAGAATCTCCCAGACACCAGACAACTCTCTTTACTTGTTTTTCATAGGAAGTAGAACATTCTACTTGGAACTAGTCGTTCTCATGAATTATTTATGTTTATTATTGGCATATAAGATTAGTCTTAGTATTTCTGCTGTGTTCTAATAGTCCTTATTCCCTTAATTTGTACTGAAGTTGGGTCTGTAATTTTATGTTAAGAAACTCAGTGTGTAAAACTAATAATAACTTATTTTAAGACAGGGTCTGCCTGGACCACACAGGATCTTTCTCCGTTAGCCTCCCAAGTGCTGGGTATGAACACATGCCACCACATCCAACTAAAACCACTAATTTCTAAATTCACAATTAGCACTTGACAACATTTACTCCGAGTTTTTACCACTTATAGTTAAAATTATACTACAGCTCTTACATTTCGCTATCAAATTCTGTATTTATATCCTCCTCCTCCAATTGGGAGGTGACCTTTCCAGTTCATATACTCTATACCCACGAATCTCCATACTCAATTTTTTCTTCTCCTATCAGTCAACACTGACCAAGCACATGTTCTCTCTCCCCACAAACCTTTCCTTTGTTACTTCTCACTGCTAAACTGTCAGGAAAAACATAGAAACACATAATAAATTCTATATACAGAAACATAAAGGGGTTCTAGACCTCTGGCAATCTCTTGAAACCTAACATTCTGTCCAAACATGTGCACAAAACTCTAAAGGGTATGTTGGGTTTTGCTTTTATGAAACTGAAAAATAACAAGAAATGGTACTAACCATGTATAGAGTCTATGCCATAGCCCAAGAAGATGAAAGCACCCTGGTGAGTAACAGAGAAAAACTTGCTTACTTCTGAGTTGGGATTTCTGAATAAACTATTATTAGCATATATTTTGTGGAAAAAGTATAAAAAAAAAAATTTCAAAGACTCACCCAAGAAATTAGGATAGAGATGGTCAATATTGTCCACAACATAATTACACTTGGGACATCTATTATTATTGTCCTCCAAACTCTGATGAATACACTTGTAGCTATCAGCATAGGGAGAAAAAATAAAAACACAAACTTAATTAAAACAACGAAGAAATTAAGAAACTGGTCACAAAACACTGTCTATTAGTATTCTCACTTTCAATGTAACTAATATAGCCAACTTACTCCCACTTATATCTTTTTATAACAAAATACATAAAGCATTTATTGACTGAACAATATATAAACTATTTCAAAATAAACTAAAAAACTCTTACATGTAGCATAAAATACAAATAAGGACTATGTTTTAGGTTATACATTTTATTATATCCTAGGAAAGCAAATGCCTATGGTCTAATTAATCTTGGGAGTACTGATATCCTCATATTACACACAGAGCTGTAACAAACAAAAACTCTACTTAAGCAAAGACCAAAATCTAGTCAAGAAGAATAAGAAAATCATCACCTTCACTACATAACAAAATAGTTATATTCACTTCACAAGAACAAAAAAGTGATTCAAAATTATGCGTTAATTTTTACTAACAGGAATGGAAAAATAAAACTGTCATACTCCAGAAAACATAATCATAAATAGCTGAAGGAAACGCAACCAGTACAACTTTCCTAAACGGTACATGCAGGAAAAATCTTAAGGTTTTATATTCCTTTTTTAAAAATTATTTTATTTATAGGGATTTATCATCAGGAAACATATATGCTATTCAATGAAGAGTTATCTAACAGCATCATAATAGCAAACTATAACAGAAAACCTAAACTACACATACAAATTGACTAAATCTGCAACTATCAACTCAATACAATGGTATAGTGGCAATAAAAATCACATTTTACTTGTACATATATCATATATTATTTATGAGTAAGTTATTATAAATAAACTATGACATATATATAATGTGTATTTCATATATACTAAAGAAAATTTCTTTCTTATATATTTGTGGTACACTACTTTTTAAGAAATGCTAATTTTATTAGTACTCTATGTGTGTGATGATGGGAGGCATATGTGATGGATCAGAGGAAAACTTTGTGGAGTAGGTTCGTTCCTTCCATCTTTACATGGTTTCTGGAGATCAAACTCAGGTTGACAGACTTACATAACAAAACATAATTCGCACACTGAACCATCTTACTGTTTCAACGATGGACCTTTTATAACTGTGTATTACCTTGCAAAAACAAATATTCTTATATATTGTTCAACCTTATCAAAAAAATATCAAAAACATATCACTAACATATTTGTACATTTTAAATAAACTAAAAACACATTTACAGTGCTAGTTAACAGTATTTTTGTCTATAGATGAGAAATACTTTCTTTGTAGATGTTTTTAACTCAAATTTCTATAGTAAGTACATACTACTCTGACAATCAGAAAAGAATGAATTTCTAAGAAATGAGAAAAGTACTTAATTAAAAAACATTTCTAAAAAGAAGACGCAGCTTTTCTTCTGTCCCGATTATTAGCTATTTACTTCCCTTTTATAAACTGAAGCTGCTTTTCTCATCTTGCTCCCTTCCATTCATCAAGTTTTACTGTTCTCCTCGTCTACCACCTTCACTTCACATGGGTTACTCTCAAGACAAGCAACAACAGGAACTCTCTTTGGCATAGCACTGGGGCCTAAAGCTGGAGTAATTGTCTATCCATAATAAATGCAGACTCCAGTATCTACTAAACAAATGATAGGAACACTGTTCTAGAAACACTATCATCACCTCCTATAACAACAGCAAGACTATGATTACCATATTACAAGATATGCTCCAAATCTATTACACTTCCTATTTGGATAAACCAACAAAGGAAATAACATTGAATGTTTTTGTTTTCATTTTCTAAGACACATGATGAGGTATACAAATACAATAGATGAAGAATTCAATGTGGAAAAAGTCTTAGAGAAAAAGATGAATTATTGTTATAAGAAATAAATGTAAGAAGACTTAAGCTTCTATTAATAAATTCAAATAAAGCCAGTTATGAAGGAGGAACCTGGGGGAGGGTGTAAAGATGAGCAGAATTGACAGTAAAAAGAGAATATTTTAGATGTTTCCGGTTTTAAAAAAAATTACGGAATAATGCCACAAAAACAACCTATAGCACTGGTTCTCAACTTCAGCGTTGTGACCCCCTCGGATCACATACTGGAGATCGTACATATCAGATATTTATGATTCATATTGTAGCAAAATTAGTTGTGAAGTAGCAATGAAATAATGCTATGTTTGGGGGTCTCCACACCATGAGGAACTTATTAAAGGGCGCATTAGGAAGGTTGAGAAGCGCTGCTCTAGAGGCTGATGACATAGCTAATAGTAGAATGCTTGTGTAACACTTGCAAGGCCCTGGTGAACAAATCCCAACAGCACAAAAGTAAGTAAATAAAAACTAAATGAAACAGAACAAGTTATAAAATCAGAAAGCTTGTCAGTATATTCAAAATTATTATACTATTAGAAAAATGTCTCAATTTCTGTGACATCAACTATATTCCATCTCAATTGGCTGATTTCCATACTTTCCCTTCAAGAAAGAAAAAAAAAAGGCCTGTGACAGAGCCAAAAGGAACTGTCCTTGCTAATGAAAGTGCAACTGACTTTTCATATTGGACTTGAAAATATTAATCTATACTAAAAAAATTAAGGTGCAACAACTTATATACCACTATATAAAATTTAACTTTAGGTGACCATCAACCCTCTTCTAACTCATTAAAGGCAAATATGTGTTTTGCTTTCCTCTGTGTCTTTAAAGTCGAGTATGACACCCTGAGTTGGAAATCAATACATGCTGAATGCATGAAGGAACTGATATAACAAAGAAGGTAACATACATTCTGCTGCTTTATGAGCTACATAAAAAGTCATATGGAAATCTACTAATTTGCAAGCTAATAAAAATTACAGTTTAGCCGGGCGGTGGTGGCGCACGCCTTTAATCCCAGCACTCGGGAGGCAGAGCCAGGCGGATCTCTGTGAGTTCAAGGCCAGCCTGGTCTCCAAAGCGAGTTCCAGGAAAGGCGCAGAGCTACACAGAGAAACCCTGTCTCGAAAAACCAAAAAAAAAAAAAAAAAAAAAAATTACAGTTTAATTTTTTTTTGGTTTTTCAAGACAGGGTTTCTCTTTGGAGCCTGTCCTGGAACTCACTCTGTAGCCCAGGCTGGCCTCGAACTCACAGAGATCCGCCTACCTCTGCCTCCCGAGTGCTGGGATTAAAGGCGTGCGCCACCACCGCCTGGCCATTTTTTAAAAATCTGAAGCTAACAGGCTACATGGATGGATAATGCTGTTGAGGGATATTTGATCACACTGTGAACCCTGAGTTAGCATTTGTGTTAATTAAATAAAATTAACCTTGGGTCAGGAGGCTGAGTTAGCAACTAGTTGACAGAAAGTAATTATAGAGCATCAGAAAGCATCTGGAAGAGATAGAGAGACACACTGAAGTAGTAAGAAAGGATTTTTTGAGTGGCATGGCTTTTTTTGTTTTGGTAAAGCAGAAGAACAAGCTTTTGGGGAGACATCAGCAAGGACAGACGGTTAGCTAGTTGCTACTCAACCTCTTTGAGCTAGCAGGTTTTCAGCCTAGACTTTGAATCTGGAGTCTTATTTATAAATAGAACAAAAGAGATTTATTTAGTTAAAGCTACCTTTAGAGGCAAGAACAGAGCCTGCAGGAACAGAATTCCCGCCAGGCCTGGCAGCGCTGCCAGAGCAGGCCGGTAACTGAGGAATTGCACTTGCTGGCTGAAATAGCAGTCACTGTGCTAAGATAAAACAACATAATGCTGCTCTCAGAAGCCATAGGTTATTAAACAAAAATCTGGCTGCCACCTCTACATGAGTAATTAGTCAGGAAGGTACCCAAAGGCACCCAAGAGAATGGAGACTGATGCCACATTGTCTACCATACTAGATAAGATCCTGCTGCTGAAAAATACTATACACTTAAGTCAAATGACAGAGAAATCAAGCAGGAATTGTGCTAGAATTTTTCTCCATTCTCACTAACATTTATAGTAGTGGAAGGCATTATGCAGACTTCTGGGGTAGAAAAGTCACAAGAGTCTTTCTTACCCACCTGTGAACCTTGCAAGCTACAATAACAACCTCCCAGGCAAGATGTGCCCGTATGTGCCAATAGTAGCATATCTGTTATAGGGTTAACCAATTGTTTTCTGATTGGGTTTTAGGCTTGCTGCACAGTATGAATTCATGCTGAGCACTACAAATTCGGTCAAAAGCCCATAGCTGGGGAGTATACTGGACCGAGGAGGGAACCTACTACTGTTGTTTTGCTATATGGAGATGATGTCAAAATGCTTTCTAAATACTTGTTTGTGCCCATATAGTAGTGCTTCCCTCAGCTTTGGTCAAAGAATTTTTTTTTTTTTTTTTTTTTTTTTTTGTAGTGAGCTACAGTTAACCAAAGACTTATAACTGGTCAAAGTGCTAAAAATAAGTAATTTTTGAATGGTCAGCCATAAAAAGGACATGTTTAATCCTCCTCACCACAATCTTAAGGAACATGGAAAAAGAGAGAGCAGAGATGGGAAAGCAAGAATACTGTGAAATGCTGTCTTTTGGATGACACAACTTTTGTACCACAGATCTTACAACAGCATGGCTACCTATACATGATCTCCAAAAGATTGGGCCCATCAATAAACCATCATGGGTGGGAGAGGGACACCTAAGTCGCTAAGTTTTTTCCAGGAACTATAGGCAATTAATGGTTGCCAGGGAATGAGACACAGATCATATTCATCAGTGTTATAGCCACTGGTAGGCTGTCCTTGCTTAAGTAAATAACCACCTGCCCATGTTCATTCAGGCACCCCTTATTAAATGCAGTGGGCCACAAAACAAACAAACTAAGACATGAACCTAAGAAAAGGACTAGTGGGGATGAGGAGGGTTGATAGGGACAAGAGGGAGGTAAAAGGAGAGTGTAATCATAACATATACATGTATGAAATTTTCATATAATCAAATTAATCAACAAAAATGAAAAACAAAATGAGAGGAGGAAGAGGACTTTTTAGAAGAAGAGATTTGGTGGGAAGGACGGGGATAAAAGTATAACGAAAATGAACTGACCCTCTGAAACTATAAGCTAGCCACTCCAATTAAATGCTTTTCCTTTATAAGAGTTGCCATGGTCATGGTATCTCTTCACAGCAATAAAAACCCTAACTAAAACATGATCTAAGTATATATGATATGGGTTATCTGGAACTGGCAAACCCACACAAACAGAAAGTAGATAGTTGTTTTTGGTAACTGCAGACATTGTTTTAAAAGGTTCAGTTTTGCCAAAAGAACAAATCCTAGAGACTATACAACAATGAACATAGCACAATGTAAATGGTATGTATCAAGATAGGTAAGACTGTAAATTCTATGTCATTTTACAATTAAAACTTAAATACATTAATATAACACAATGTAGTCTAAAGACAATCTGTGTGTGAAGTGTTAACAAAGAGAGTATAGAGCCTTTTAATCTACTCCACCCTTTTCCTATGTTTGTGTCCACCTGTTCTCTGGGTCCTCCCACCTGACTCCCAAGTGAAAAATTGGTATCTCATGCTTAATGACCAATTACCCACCTTGATTTTCTAAAACAACACTGTTTCTGCCAACAGGTAATAAACACAAGATCTTAAAGCCTGTATTTCACAGAAGTCATGTACTAAACAAATTTTATATCTTGAACTGTCAAACCTGTAAAGACCTATCAGTTGAAGAAACAGTCTAAAATTAGTTGTCAGTTGCACTTATATTGAATGAATATCATCTTACCAAAAGCTGTGGCCACATTTTGTCATGTATGCCTCCTCAATCATATCAAAGCAGATGGGGCTACAAAAAAAAAAAAAAGAGAGAGAGAGAAAAAAACCATCACAATAAATGTTGTTAAGGTAGAGTACTACACACTGGAAAGGGCTAGTGACAAAGTCAATCAAATCAAATTTAATATATGGCTAAGAGTTAAGTATTCGAATTTGTCAACAGAAATTTACAGGACTATTAGTAAAAGTAACATATTCAAGCTGACCCAAAGAGCAATAAATTATAAAATAAGTGCAGTGAATACACTTAAATTACTCAAATATTAACCCAGCTCTTATATGATGTCCTGATGTTGAGAGTTAAATTTCAATTCTAATTCTCCTCTTATTTTTCTATAGAATATCAAAATAACACTCAAAGTCCCAGCATTCTTTGCACTTAAGATTGGCCATAAAGATTAATGGATATAGGGTTATAGTTAGGTAGAACAAATTACCTGAATGGTCTGAATCATAATATGATAACTATAGTTAACAAAAAGAAGTTAAACATTTTTAATTGCCTAGGACAGGGTATTTTCATTGTTCCTACCACAAAGAAATGATAAATGCCCAAGGTGAAAGACATGGCAAATTGTCTGAATCCAATCATTACATATTATACACATGTACTGAAAAGATGCACTTAAGTATACAAAATAACTATGTGTCAACTAAAATGAAAAATAAAGGGTGTTGGAGTGGCTCAGTTGGCAAAACATTTGCTTTACAAGCAAGAAGACCTGAGTTCCATTCTCAAATCCATGTAATGTGTATGATTTGTAATCCAGAGCCAGGGAGGCAGAGACAGAATGCCTGGGGCTCCCTGGATGGCTGGTCTAGTCTAACTGGTGAGCTCCCAGACAATGAGACTATTTCAAATAAGGTGAACAACAAGGTGAACAACAATCCTAAAGATGACACTCAGTCCTCTGGTGTGCTCCTGCTCGTGCGCTCTCGCTCTCGCTCTCTCTCTCTCTCTCTCTCACACACACACACACACACACACACAACAAAACAAAACAAAAACCACCCCTACCTTTAGAAAAGTCCCCAGGGAAAATATATTTTCAATTGTTGTCTTCTTTTATTGTGTAGCTATGTCCACCCACACTGATTTTGGACAATAGTCTCATACACACTAGGCACTCACATGATCTAAGATACATCCCCAGCCAAAACAGAATTTTATTACATTTCTCTCTTTAGACTTACACTAATTTTGTCTTACATCACATATGTGAATTATACATAAAAATCAAATCAGGGGCTCTTACAAATGCTTATGTTTTAGTATTTAACTTTACTGATTTAACTTTTTTGGGTGGTGTGTAGCATATGCACATGTGCAAGTTTATATGTGCATATGCTAGTCCATGTGGGTGAGTGTAGAGATGAGAGGTGAATGTTGGGATGTCTTCTTCAATAACTTAACCTTTTGGACGGAGAAAGGAGGAGAGTGGAAGAGGGGTCTCTCAATGAACTATGAGTACAATGTTACTGCTACATTGGCTGTGAACCTCCAAATTCACCTGTCTCCAGCCCTAGTGCTGAGGTTACAGGTGTGCATACGGTAACTTTTTATGAGGATACAAACTCAGGTCCTTCTGCATAGTCAGCAAGTACTTTACCTACTAAACTACTCCCCAGTTTGAATTAACTTTTTTTGTTTGTTTGTTTTTGTTTTTGAGACAGGGTCTTTATATAGCCCTGGCTAGCCTGAAACTCAATATGCAGATCAGGCTAGCATTGGAACTTACAGAGATATGCATGTCTCCTCCCAAGAGCTGGGATTAAAAGATGTGCACCCAGCTAAAATTTAATTTTATCTGTGTGTGTAGGTCCCATGCCACAAGTGCAGGTTAGAGAATTTTCAGCAAATGGTTCTCTTTCTGCTAAGGGTTCCAGAACAGTGTTCAGATTGGCTTATGCAGCAATAGTTTTTATCCATCTCCTGTGCCATTGCACAGGCTTCTGAAGTAGCCTGTCAGTGATAGCCAATTTTTTGCCACACAATAATATCCAGTACTTTAGTGATGCCGCATTTATTAAAAAGAATAATAGAACCAAACACCATTGTCACTACGATCTTATGCCAGATTTAAATTCAGCCATGTATCCTACAACTGACTTCAACTATGGAATTTTGCTGAACATGTCTAATTTTCTACATCTCAGAATCTCCTCATTTCTACAAAGCTCATAAAGAATGAAACAATTAATTCAAAATTATCTCAAGGAGATTTTCTTTCATTTTGCCAAAACCTACATCGAGGCAGGTATCTTTTGTTTTGTTTTTGTTTTTGTTTGTTTTATTTTGCTTTGGTTTTGTTTTTATTTTTTATTTTTTGTTTGTTTGTTTGTTTTTCCCCGAGACAGGGTTTCTTTGTGTAACAGCCCTGGCTGTCCTGGAACTCGTTTTGTAGACTAGGCTGGCCTTGAATTCACAGAGACCTGCTTGCCTCTGCCTCCAGAGTGCTGGGATTAAAGGAAGGCAGGCATGAAATGATAGCTACATCCAATTACCATTGTTATGGTACCATCAACTCTAACATACAAATCAAATGTTTAAAAATGTCAAAAGATAAAACAAGTGAAAGAAAGTTAAATTTATACTCAGAGAAACATAATCAAGTATAGTTCACTTGCATTTGAGGTCAATATTTAACTGGGGAGAACTTTCCTTTGACCATATTACTCAGAAAACTGGATTAAAAAACTGCTTTTTAACACTGAACACTAGTCAGCACAAGGCTGACACCCTTGAGAGAAGAGAAACAAATGAATATATTCTTATTTTTATGTGGACCCAGTTTATTGTGGACTCACTCTTTGCCTGAAAACATTTTGTATGCTCTCATAACAGGAGCAGAGCAACTAATTGAGCACTTCAGGAAGCACAAAAGGGACATCAGAGAACAACTCTGGAACAGCCACATAAGCTTCCCCCCTTTGTTACTGAGTAATTGTGACTGTACCCATGGTCCAAGTGCACAAGATCAGGAATAAAATGATGAGGGAGCCATTATTCAAACCCTAGGCATTTACCAGGGATCCTAGAAGGGTTATAATTTTTAAGTTTTAAATGTTAAGTAAGACTTAAAATTTAAGTTTAAAAATTAAGAAAAAAATATGAACTAGTTTATTTTTTCTTATTCTAAAGAACTCCCTTTTGGGACTGGAGAGATGGGGCTCAGAGGTTAAGAGCATCGACTGCTCTTCCAGGAGTCCTGAGTTCAATTCCCAGCACCCACATGGTAGTTCACAACCATCTGTAATGAGATCTGGCGCCCTCTTCTGTATACATAATAAATAAATAAATATTTAAAAATAAATAAATAAATAAAAGAACTCCCTTTTGGTTTTATGAGATCATCACTTAGATTTAGAGTTGATATGGTAAAACCCTAAGCTCCATGTAAACACAGTCCATTTGCTGTGTTTAACATCCTTGCATGAGATAGCTTTACGAAAACACACTATCTTTCTAGGCAATTTTGACATTGTAAGTTGTTGTTGAAGTCTCTTGTCTCTCATTCATAAGAAAGACATACTAGATTCCAGGGCTAATGGGACTTCTCATGTCACCTTAATTTTCCCTGTCATTTTATCCTGTGAAAATTACCCACAACTTAATCTTTTGTAAGATATATAAGACTATAAGCTATAAATATCTAAAATGGCAATCAATCCTACAATTAAATATAAACTTATTTTCAAATACGATAAAGCTAAGAGTATTCCTGAAATTAGGCATGTGACTTTATTTAAATAACTGTTCTCGGGCTGGAGAGATGGCTCAGCGGTTAAGAGCACTGGCTGCTCTTCCAGAGGTCCTGAGTTCAAATTCCCAGCACCCACATGGTGGCTCACAACCATCTGTAATGAGACCTGGTGCCCTCTTCTGACCTGCAAGCATATATGTAGGCAGAACACCATACACATAATAAATAAACAAATCTTTAAAAAAATAAATAAATAACTACTCTCAAAAAGAGTTTGTATGGGGGGCGGGGGAGTGTCCTTATCTACTGCCTCCCACCCTAGCCTCCCATTATGATTCTTCTTAGAATAGGGGCAGCAAGGAGAGAAATGGCTAAGGAGAAAACCATTATGAAACAGCTTCTTACCTCTGATCAAGCCCATTAAGAACCACTGGATAGTATACTAGAACTCACAGAGCTCAAGCTTTCCACCCACATAAAGGGAAGTGCTAAACTGAGACTCCAGATCTGATTCCTCATTTTGTCCCTTAGCTAGCCCATCTAAAACAGCAGGTGAAAATCATTACGCTAGTGCTATAGTAAAATAAGAGAGTCTAACTCCTTACAACTACTCTAAGGATAAAATGAGATGTAAAATATAAACATATTTTTTTAAAGTGTTATCAATGAGTAAAGAATTAACATTATTTGAACTTAAACCTCATTTTTATATAAAAGATTACAGTAATTTGAATTGCCTCACAGTCTGACAGAGGTACTGGGCTAGTGGGACTTCTCATGTCACCTTAATTTTCCCTGTCATTTTATCCTGTGTGTACACTCAGAGACCAATTAGAAATAAAAAGAGTTGCTAAGGCTATCTAATACATATCCCACTGCAAGAATCTGATCAAAACTAAACCTAGTTTAAGAAGTGCAAAATATATTCACTGATTAATTCTTCTGAATAGCCAATCTCACCAAAAAGAAAAAATAATGAATTGAGATTCTTAGTGAAATATTTGGAATTTTAACAAAAAATATTCATTGGACATTTTCACACTAGAATATAAAATATAATACCTATACAACATAGGAAAAAGAGTAGGCTGAATTCCTTTTAAGTATTTATTTTTTGAGTGTGTATGGGTGCTTTGCCTACAAGTATGTCTGTGTACCGTGTGTGTGTGTGTGTGTGTGTGTGTGTGTGTGTGTGTGTGTGTGTGTGTTGCCTATGGGGCCCAGAAGAGGACTCAGATGCCCTGAAAATGGAGTTGCAGACAGTTGTGAGCTACCATGTGGGTACTGGGAATCAGACCCCAGTCTTCTGACAGAGCAACAAGTGCTCTTAGCCATTGAAGTCTCCTCTCAAGCCCCTAAGCTCAATGATCTTTTTAAACAACCAGGTGATGGACTAATAATTTAGTCTTACTCCTGAGCTGGTTAGTTTTAACTGTCAACTTAACACAATCTAGTACCCGCTGGAAAGTGTCAACGAAGGGACTGTCTAGATCAGGTTGATCATTGACATGCCTGTGGGGTATGTTCTCCATTCCTAACTGGTATAAGACAACCCAGACCATTGTGGGAACTTTCACTCTTTGCTTGACCGTGGAAGTGAATCTTCTAAGTTCCTGCACTGATCTCTCCTCAATAATGAATTGTAACTGAGACTGTGAGCCAAAGAAACCTTTTCTTCCCTAAGTTGTCTGTAGTCCAGGTATTGTCACTGCAACAGAAACGAAACCAGGACACACCTAATACCAAAACTAAGTGCCAGCTGCTCCTTAGTCACCTCCAGGTCCCTACACCATTGCCTGTATTACTCTGACAGACAGTTCAACAGCCAATGTCTAAATTATCTATTAAGTAACTGAATAATACTCCGATTTCTCACACCTTTTCCACTATTTAAATGACCTAAGGTCGCTGGCATGTTTTTCTTCTACTTTTTGAAAACTGAAATGCAAATAATGGCTAAAAGTTAAATTCTACAGGTTGCCTGCTTGTTGTACTAGCTTCTACCTTATCATGTGACACTATTGATTGGATAGGAATGCAAACACTTCACCCAGGCAGGCGGTGGCGGTACACACCTTTAATGCCAGCACTTGGGAGGCAGAGACAGGCAGACCTCTGAGTTCAAGGCCAGCCTGATCTACAGAATGAGTACCAAAACAGCCAGGGATACAGAGAGAATCCTGTCTCAAACAAACAAACAAACAAACAGGAATGCAAACATCTCTTAGATCCAACCTTAAACTATTTAAATTGCATACCAATAATCACAACCATTTGTGTTTCAATAACAAGTGCTGCTTCTGAATCTAAACAAAAGCAGAAATAAAAATTATATTCCTGAAGAGGCAAGAAAGTGTAGCCAATATCTTTCTCAATGGTTACGATCTCTAGCCCTATCACATTTAATAACACCATTTAAGACCATCTTCAACCAATCTCCCCAAGAAGGACTGCTCAAGCCAACTTCCTACATCATTTAAGTCAATTAACATGTCCCTTCGCAGGAAAGGCTCAGCATTCTACCAGTTTTTGAGCAGGAAAGATTACTTAAGCTCTCTTAATCCTATAACTGGTATTTAAAACCCAATTAAAACTCAAAAAATTCAAAACAATCAGATTCATCTTTTGCTTAAAGCCCCTCTTAGATGCCAAATGACTGGATTCTTCTGTGTCATTCAAGACGCCAGCTGTGATGCAATGACTATACAAGCGTTTCTCAAGTCAGAAGTTCCAGCATATTACACAGCGCTGTAATAGTTCCGTACAACACAGTAACAGTATCTAATAAATGTGTTTCCCTCATTCCAACAGTTGAAACGTGGAATTGGTCGTGAACAAATTTTGACTATCAGCAACAGAATTACAAGGGTCCTATCCATTCAAATAGGAGACATATACACATTCCCACGCCCAATGGGTACTTAAAAAGATCACTCTGTAAAACATCCACAACCGTGTTTCGAGCACCATCTACTGTATTTACAATACAGAGTTGACTAGCAATTCCATCCCTCAGAATCTCAGGCAGTATTCTTCCTCTGAAAATGTAATTCATAAACTACTCCAGGCTGACGCCAATTCCACTGGCCAAAAAACATTTAAGGTTCAAACTCCCGGCCCAAATATTTCCTTTTCTACATAACCACTTACTGGACCTCCACCTCTATCCTTAGGCAGCCCCTTAAATGCCTTCAGTTCCTGCACATCAGGACCCACCTCAACGTAACCCCATTTTACTACTTTGCCTCGGGATCCCAGTTCACCTCCACCTCCCAACCAGGAACCTTTAACTGCCAACACTCAACTCCCCGGCACGAATCCCAGCACCACCAAGCTGCGCTCTCCGACAGGCCCCCGCCCCCCCCCACACCGGACCCTGCCAGCTTCAGCATCAGAAAACTCGTGGTCGCGCATGCAGGGACAGCTATGAGAACCCACCAGACGAAGTCGTTGCTTTTGTCCTCGTAGGAGTTGTGGATCCCGTTGCAGAGCGGGGCGAGCAGAGGTCGCTTCCTACTGCTGCTGCTGCTGCTGCCCAGGCTGGAGCTGCTCCCTCCAACACCGGCGCTGGGCCTGGCCGCGCAGCTGAGCCGGGACAGGCCCGCGGACACCGCCCCGCCGGTGCTCGCGCTGCCGCTGCCGGACACCGCGGCCGCCACTAGCACAGGCCGCCCCGGGCCACCGAGGCCGCCCGAGCCCGCGGCCGGAGCCGCCCCGCCAGAGACCAGCGTCGCCGCCGAGGCCGCCGCGGAAGGCGGCGACGGAGACGAGGATAAGGACGAGGAGGCGGAAGTCACCGAAGAGGCCGCCGAGGAACCGGGGCTCGTCCCAGCGGAACCCGAGCCGGTCTGGCGGCTACCTGACATCGTGCCTCCCTCCCTCCCTGGGCCCTGCGCTCTGAGGCGAGGGCCCGGATGGACCGCGACCCTCCGCCGCCCCCGGCGCTCAGCCCCCGAGCATCCTGAGGACGCGCTGGGAGGTGGGCCGGGGGAACAATAAAGTTGGGCTTTCCACCGCCGCCCCGCCGCCGCGTCCTACGCGAGGGGGCGGGGGAAACTAATCACATCAGAGAAGCCATTACTGCCGAGGAGGCCGCCGGGGTAACCAACCCGGGCTCGCCGAGGCGGCGGTGCTTGCGCACGAGCGGCGGAAGGGGCGGGGCCCCCGGTGAGGCTGCGCACGCAGCGGCCGACGCTGAGCCGTGCCGTAGAGGCCTAGCGCGTCTGGTTCCGTCCCTGACGCAGCAGAGGGATGGATGGCCGTTTTAATGGAGTCAAAGGCTGGAAGGGAGCGAAGTGGCGGGCTTGGTCTGAAGGACCAGGAACGCTCGAAAAGCAACTGCTCACGCGTTCCCCGAGTGGACGCTGGCCGATGGCTCCTTTAGACTTGAGACGGGGCGGGGCGGTGGTGGCGCGCATGCGTGAGAGCGGCCGCGCATGCGGATCGAGACTGGGAAAGACAGATCGCTTGCCTAGGTCTCCTGAGGCTTCGCGTTGTTGCCCCTTAGTACGGCAGATGGCAGGAATATAATGTGTATTTCTGCTTTTGTTTAGCTTGAGAAGTCCTATAAAAAGAAGTAGGAGGCAGCCAGGGTAGTGAAAAGAGCCAAGGGTTTCGAACATGTTATGGTACCAGAAATTATTTGACTCCTGTTCCCCTTGTCACTTGCCTAAATAATCTCTAATATTTTGTAAAGTCTCTTTGATAACTCCTGATCTGTTTTCATAGAAGCAGCAAACCTAGTTTCATACAAAGTCCTCCCTGGAGAATGCAAACTAAGCCTTAAGCCTTGCCGGTTTGGGGGGACATGGGGCATACAGAGGGAGAACTTACGTTGTCTATTGTCGCATCTGTCTGATGACTTATTTGTTGTAGACCCGTTTCTCCTCTGATTAGTGCCTGCTGCCTTGAGTACTACAGCCCTTATCAGAGGAGAAATGGGGCTACAACAAATAAGTCACCAGGTAGATACAGACACTGCCTTTCAGTGTCTCAGTTATTGTAAACCTTGGGGCCACCTCATTGAGTTGAGAGTTATCATCCCTGCAAAGCCCTCTAGCTTTTGAACTTTTTAAGTTTTTTGTGACTGTCCAGTGCTAACAGAGTAACAAAGGCCAAATTTAATGCCCTAGCATTTTCCAGAGTCAGTGGGTCAAAAGCAGGTGTAAATTCTGAAACTTTTTCTGAAATCACTCGAAAAATGTCCTGGGACTCTTAGACTCTGAAGAGCCTCAGTAGTCTTAGACAAATTAATGAGTTTTTGAGCTGCACCCCAAATTTCAGTCATAAGATACAGTTGAAAAATGCTTAGGACCTGGGAACCTGTGTACACATTAGGGTCGCAATGAGGGTGCTTGGATAAAGCTGCCTCAAAAGCAAGGCCCAAGAGAGCTTCCTTGTCACTGTGCCAATAGTTCCCTTTCATCTGAAGTAAAGAGAAGTTGCTGGCACTCATCCCAGGGGTAGAGGACAGATCCTAGGAGGGCTGTTAGGGCTTGGGGCTTATCAGAAAAAGGTGGGTCTGGGTCTTCCTTCCAGTAATAATGATTTGAAATAGAGAATGGAACATAGAAGATCAGAAAAGAATCACACATGTCCCCTGCGTCAGGGATTCTCAACCTATGGGTCGCAACCCTTTCCGCCTAAGACCATCGAAAAATTCATAGCAGCAAAATTGCAGTTATAAGGTAATGTTATGGTTGGGGTCACCACAACATGAACTGCTTTAAAGGGTCGCAGCATTAGGAAGGTTGAGAACCACTGCTCTGTTGTTGACCTCCTCCTACTCCCACTCCCAAGGAAGAACTGGTGCCTTTTGCAAGGGAAAAAAAAAAAACAAAAAAAAACGAGGCTAGTAACAGGGAGACCGGCCACTGCCTGCTCTCAGGCACCTGGGAGGGCCCAGGTTCCAGGGACCCTGCCATGGGAAGTGGCTCCAATCTGAGGGCTGTCCGTTTCCAGGGAACCGCCGCCCACTGTGGAGCTCCAGGCAGAGAGGCACCAAGTGAGAGACTGGGGGTGTGTGTGACTCCAGGAGTGGGTTGGTATGACTAGAAGTTTCCCATCCTAGAGAGGAAAGGAGACATATTTTTTTGCATACAAAAAGACAAACTGCTAACAACAGCATACGGAAGGAGGCACCTACTGGCAGAATCCTGAGGAACGGGCAGAATTGTAATCAATCAAGTTAACCAGAGTGAGTACACGCCAGCCCCCCTTTGGGGAGATGAGACAAAACAGAACAGCAGCAGCAACATCAAGAAAGCAGATAACTTCCTGGGCCAAATTTCCCCTCGTTCATATCATCAGTCACACAGTTGGCCAGTCATTCTTTCAAGCAAAACCGAAACTGTATGTCTCATTCAAGACAGAACCAGGACACAGGGGCTCCATTATTGGCCTCCCAACTTAGTGTGGGAGGACTTGGGAAGAATTTCCTGCTGGAATTTTCTTCCCAAACAAGGAAGAGGGCTTCCAGTGTCCCTCTTATCTAGAAGACGACTCACCAGAATGGCTCCGTCCTTCTTAATTAGAAGGCTCCCCATGGGCTCATCCTCAACCAGAATCAGAACAGAATTCAGTATGCAGACATACCTCCTAGGAGTGTAAGAACTTTGTTTTGGTGTCAGGAACATGGCAGTCATTCCAGACCTTGCCAGACTCAGAGGAGTTGGGGCCTGGAATGTTTGTCAGATGGTGCATCCCCTGCAACCTCTCCCTGGCCAGGAAGTCAGGGAATCAGGCTGAGTTCCACAGTGTGGGCAATCTTGCTGGGGCCTCCAATGAAATGATCCATGAAAGATAGTTATTGATAACTACACTGATTAAGTCAATTAAAAGTTTAAGTCCTTTTTATTGATACCAGACCTAGCTCGAGCCTCTGAACAGTTTAAGGAAGAGAAAGTTCAAACCTTATTCCAACATTAAGGAAGCTAAAGAGATAACAAAGCAATTAGAAAAATAGATACAATGTAACAATACTTGCCTGATGTGGAGACACCGGCCTTTAATTCCAGCACTCAGAAGCAGAGGCAAACAGATCTCTGTCAGTGTGGAAGATGGCCTAGAAACAATGGGAAAATAAAAATTAAAAAATTAACAAATTAACTTTACAAGAAAGGTAATTTGGGGAAAAAACTAATTAGGAAAATTTTATATCAGTTCTGACAGGCATTACTGTTCTAGATTATGGTGATAAGAAGGAAATTTTGGGACTGTCCTGAAAAGAAACTGGAATTAAGTTGCTCTATAAAAGAATCTTTAAAATTCTGGAGGGCATGACCCATGTCTGCCATTCTCATCCGCATTGTCTTTTCCTGGGCTTGGCTTAAGAGCCAATACATATAGTAAAGATAATGGAGCATAGGGAATCACTCCAAAGGTTACCCCTGGATCACAGTAGCATAATGTCAGAATTAGAGACGCCCAATGGATAATTTAAGTTTGGCTGTGTTGAGTGTAGGATAAGAAAACATTCAAGTAAGCATAACCAGACAATGATTGAAAATGCAGTCTAAGTCACAAGAGAAAGATCAACACATGAGAGAGAGATTGGGAGATTAGTAAGAGGATAATAAACTAATCCTAAGGAGTTCTTAAGGACCAATTGCTTGATAAACTTTATATATATATATATATATATATATATATATATATATATTTGGTGTTTTCGAGACAGGGTTTCTCTGTGTAGCTTTGTGCCTTTCCTGGATCTCGCTCTGTAGACCAGGCTGGCCTCGAACTCATGGAGATCCTCCTGGCTCTGCCTCCCGAGTGCTGGGATTAAAGGCGTGCGCTACCACCGCTGGGCACTATTTGTTATATTGTTATAACTAAATATCCAATGTGGGCTGTTTGTCAAAAAGATGTATTCATAGTTTGAGAAGTTAAAATTCCAAGATTGGGTAGCCATATCTGGCTCACTGCTAGCGAGGGTCAAATTGGCTGTGTCACAATTTGGCTAAAAGCCCAGAGGGAAATAGTCTGGTGCAAGGGGGTCCAACAAACATTTGGAGTAGCCTGTCCTTATAACAACTTGCTCTTGAGAGAATGGGTTGTTCTCCCTAAAACCACCATTGATCCCTCTCCAGACAGTACCCTTCTAACCTAAATGTCTTCCACTATCCTCCCTCTTAAAGATTCTATCACCCCAACACAAGCTGGGGACCAGTCTCTCTTTTGTAAAATCACTCAAACCATACTAAAGCCACTGTAAGAACATTTGCTGTGCCCATGATTCTCAAATATCACTGTAGAGAAGAACCATCCATACAGGGTTTTTTTTTTTTTTTTTATAACTACAGATTCTAGGATTCTACCACAGAGATACTGACTATAGGCCTGGTATAGGGCCTGTGAATATACATTCCCCAATAATGGTGAGTCTAATGCAGGTAACTAACATTATGAGTCAGTTTGGGATACACGATGAGAATCTATCTCAAAGTAAAATAAAAAAATAAATAAAAAGAAATGTAAAACACTGATTAATAAGGTAGGGAATGCAAGAGAAATGAAGTAATCACTTCCAGGAGTCTCTTCCAAGAAGGAGAGGTTATACAATACAACATGTCTTTTAGGAACAAATCCTGAGTACTTGGAGCCTATCTTCAGTAAAATCTGAAGTTGCAAAAGGAAGCTGAGCAAATATGATGCAATTTCCTTTCATACTAGATAAATACATTGAAGTACACAGTAGTTTCTGCTGGCAAGATCTGTTAGGAAAGCAGAAAAGAGGAAGCATGGTGCACACAAGTGCACATAACACAAAGAAGCAAGATAACTCAGGAGAAACAACAAATAGATAGTTTAAAAACGGAAAGGAAAACATATTAAGCCCAAATAATTAATAGAATACCATAATATTAAATGTATTTAGCCCATGAGCTATAAAAAATACATATAGTAAAGACAAAATCCAAAATCTAACAAAAGAAATGAAGATAGAACGGAATGATTGACAGAGAATTGAACTTCCGTATCTGTTCCTGAGATAAAATATCCAAATACACTTTTTTAACAAGACTAGAGTGCTGGTTTCCATCTGCTGCAGGCTTTGTTCTCCGAATCCAGAAGTTCTCCACAAAGCTTTATCTGCCAGACTCACCTAGAAAATTTGGGGCCTGATTGCCCTGATGCTGTCTAATCCAATCTCTTAAGGGCACAATAGCTTCCTGATGATTTCTTAAGTGAATCTACTATAATGACCTGCATTAGTGTTGTGAAATAGACATAGTATTTGTTAAGGTCCAGAGAGAATCCCCCAAGAAAGACCAACAGTCATGTATGCAATTTAGCAAGAGTGTCTATTGTTCCCAACACATTGGGGTGGCAAATATCGACCCTGAAGGGAGGTAGAAAGCTCCTTTTAAGTGGGAGTTAGGGGAAATCCAGGGAGGAGGGATTAATCTC